ACAACGTGCGAATGTGGGTGTAAAACAATCCACGTAAATCGCGATAAGAAATCGAGCCATATAATTCTTTATTCGTAATTTTGTCATGTTCCTTATCTCTTCGAAACCTTGACTCGATCGTGCAGGTATTCGCTACCAGATATCTTTGCAACTGTATATTAATTTATTTTTCATGAAGTTCAATCACTGATGGAAATTAAAATAACGATGATTAACGCATGGAACGTGTGTCGATCTGCTTTGTCGAAATTCAAATTGATTTGAATTTGTTCAAATGTCATAAACTCTAAAAACCTATTTTATATATATATTATATATAGCTTTAAGTCGTAAAAAGTTACTCATCATAATCGATTTTTTTCTAATTCACATATTCAACTGATAATTGGTCAATTTTTACGGCTAACAGCTGTCGTAAAGTAAGCTAAAGTCTACGTTCGAGGTGCGCGGTATCAGTATTACTGCATATGTCATTTACATATGTCCTTACTTTAGATACGTCTAAATTATATACGATAAAGATAAAATAACATATGGCTTTGCGTTCGAGGATGCAATTATATCATTATATTTTATCTTTATCGTTTTATTTAGATGTAAAACAAGGGTGAAATGATGCAATAGTGTCGATAGCACGCCCGAACAGCCTTGACTTTGAAATCCTCCGTACAACACACTTGTTGCATGACGCGATTGCGTACCTCGCGCCACTCGCTCAGTCGCATTCCGTTTCCCATCGTTTCCGCTGCGCGACCTTCGCGTCGCGTTCCCGACTCCCAGAGTACTTTAACCTCTCGCGGCTCTCGCTTCATCGTTTCGTTTCACCGTCCAGCGGCGAAGAGCCAGGTTACCTCGAGTACGTCTATTCTTTTTAATCCTCAACACGTTCGCTCGCGACGACGTGTGTTAAGTCCGACACCGCGAATTTCTCTCGGCGATCAATTCAAATTGAATTAAATCGAAACGATCCGACAACAACGAATCGCTGGATTGAGTTAAAAGTAGCGGTATTTCGCCGTCGCGAGAATCAAGTTTCCCGCCACAATGGCATTACGTAAGATATTTTATCACGACGATTTGTGTAGTTGACAATTATGACGACAATCGTCGCGATAATTTCGACGTTTCAGCCCGATGTTTGATGCTTCCGGAAGGTCGAGTCACGTTTTCCGAATTGTTGTACATACCTGTTGTCATCGCTCAAAGATAATAGCTATCGTGTTCAATTGAGATGACAACAGAACGCGATTTGCCGTAGTTGCTTTATTAAGAATATTAAGATTTTGTTTGTACCCCCGTCTAGATGCTGACGAGAGTTTGTTTCCTGGCGACAAGCAAGACCGTTTCCTTCAATACAGTGAGAAATATCAGAAGCATCGCCGAAATGTCGAAGTTTGATTTACCGAATCGTTTGAAGGGCAATGAAAAATCTGTCTGGTAAGTAACGTTACTTTAGATATATATTTCTTGTACATAAACAAATGGAAAATGAAAAATTATAAAAACTTACTACACATATATTGGTTATGTTTGTTTGGTTAGGGTCGAATACATCCAGCTCGCTCTGCAGTACAAGCCACTGAATTTGGGCCAGGGCTTTCCTGACTACTACGCGCCAGAGAATGTGACCAATGCTCTGGCTGCTATTGCCAAAAGTGACAATCCGCTTTTGCAACAGTATACGAGAGGATTTGTAAGTATAGCAAACATTCCATTCACTTGACTTTTGAATTTGTATTTCTCTTGTTAATTTGATTTAATTTTTTTATGAAACATTAACGCAGTACTGCAATTGCAATGGTCAATAACTAGCAATGATAAAATTATCTCGTCTATGCGCGATACAATGAATTTTATTTTGCTAATATAGATGTGAATGTTGCAGGGTCATCCAAGACTAGTGAATGCAATTGCAAAGTTTTACTCCAAGCTTATCAAGCGTGACTTGGATCCGAACAAGGAAGTGTTGGTCACTGCTGGTGCTTACGAAGCGTTATATGCCACTCTGCAAGGTCACACTAATCCTGGAGATGAATGGATCATCATTGAACCCTTTTTCGATTGTTACGTACCTATGGTGCAGTCCGCCGGAGGAATTCCCAGATACATAGCATTAAAACCGGTAAGAATTTTGAATAATTCTAATGGGGTTGCAGCCCAAATCGAGCCTTAGCTTTAGCCAATCTCTTCATATGCCTGTGGTGCGCTGATTGTACACAGGCATATGGGACAATTTAAAGCCAGAGAGAAAACGCATGGCATATGAAAATTGGTTGATTCTACCGGGTATTAAACCCAAAACATTTGGCATAACAATACGCCGTCTGTTATGCCACGTTCGCGCTTATTTTATGATAATAACTGCAGGGAAGAAACTTTTGCATTAAAATATCATTAAATATATATAATGTTACTTTCTTACAGAAATCTACATCGGGCACGGTCACCTCTGGCGATTGGGTATTCGACAAGAAAGAGATGGAAGGTCTCTTCAATGAGAAAACTAAAGGTATCATCATTAACACCCCACACAACCCCATAGGAAAAGTGTTTACGCTGGACGAATTGCAATTTATTGCCGATCTCGCGAAAAAATGGAACACACTTGTGGTTGCCGACGAGGTTTACGAGCATATCGTTTACGAGCCGTACAAACATATAAGAATCGGTAAGAATCGCCTTATAAAATCCGCATGCGATATAGAATCCCTAAAATGAGATCTAAAAATATACAATAATAAGTTAATGATATCTAAAAGATTATTCTTTTAATTAGCAACATTGCCCGGTATGTACGAACGCACAATCACGATCGGATCAGCGGGCAAAACGTTCAGCGTTACAGGTTGGAAAATAGGCTGGGCCTACGGGCCGGCGAATTTGTTGTATAATCTGCAAGTAGTACATCAGAACACCGTATATACCTGTTCCACGCCGATTCAGGTAATTAATTAAATAAAACTTCTCTGTAATTCAGTTCTATAAATTTTATTCCGATAAATAAGTCAGTAAATTATTTTTTATTTAATTTATTTATTTTATTAAATTATTCTAATAATATATTAATATAATATTAATTTATTTAATTTAATATATTAATTTTTTTATAAAGGAAGCGATAGCTATTGGATTTGAATTGGAATTGGAACGCTTGGGACAGCCGGAATGTTACTTCCACAGTTTGGCAATGGAATTGTTACCGAAGCGCGACTACATGGCGAAATTCCTCCGGGAGGTTGGTATGATACCGACAATACCCGAGGGTGGTTACTTCATGCTCGCTAACTGGTCCGCGTTGGAGAGCAAAGTGAGGCTGCAGGAGGAAACGGACGTGAACAAGGACTACAGATTCACCAAGTGGATGACGAAGAACGTCGGTCTTCAAGGTATTCCTCCCACGGCCTTCTACGGTCCGGAACATAAAACTCTCGCGGAGGATTATGTGCGGTACTGCTTTATAAAGGTAAGCGCGTGTGGCCGGCGAAGGTAAGGGCAATGGACTTCGATTAAGACGGCATACGACTTTGGACGTTCGTTAAAATATCGATTATTGCGTTTTAACAGAAAGACGAAAATTTGAAAGCAGCCGCCGATATCTTGAAGAAGTGGGCATCTCAATAATTGAGACTATGCACATGTGTAAATGTGTGTATGCATATTCGGTGACTATTGATAAGTGCCTCGTGCACTGTATTAATTTTTTTCGAGCAACTTTCGTGCCACGTTGTGGGCGCGAAAAGTTGTTTGCTCGATACAAATAGGAAACAATTAACGTGACTTACTGCAATTTTTATACGTATTTATCATATTGGATTGATAAATGTTTTATCCCTGTTATATTTGTGATATTAAATTTATAGATACAAATCTTTATATATTCTGACGCAGTAGTGGTTCAATTAAGTAGTCTTGTGATGCTATCAGTCATGATATCAGTAATGATTGATAGTAATCGATCCGAATAAACTGCGTTGATGGGAAGTTAAAATTATAGGTCGGAGTCTCTTCGAAGCCGTTTCTTGACGTCTCTTGAGTCGACTCCGAACGTTTTACCGCATCTACGAAGTAAAAATATTTAACAAAAAATATGTTGTTTCTTTGATATTTAGATCCTTGGATTCTCTTGGATCCTCGAGTCCTCCTCTTCCTCGGACTCTCATTGTTAGATCCCAACTCTTCGTCCTTAGATTCTGAGTTTTTGAATCCTTAGATCTCTGGGTTGACCTATCCTAGGATCCTTTGATCCTCATATTTATATATCCTATATAATCTGATCGTGTTTAATTAATTGAACTCGCCTGAACACTGCTCCTGGAATATACCCAAGATAATTCGGTATCATTCCGACGTTTTCGTAGTAGATTTCAGTGGATTGGACAAGTAACGGGGGATCAGGGGGATAAGCGATAGTTTCATATTTTGTACCTTGTCCCTTTCGACAATTTGCGAAACTATGTAATACTTTGTCGGATGACGGGATAATCGTTCCAAATTCCTTGTAACCGTGAGGAATGTGAGTCGCGTATCCTTTGCGAAGTATAATCAATATGACAAGTATATTTTTTCCCAAAAGTGTCTTGCATATTTTTTAAAAATTATATTTTATAGAAATATAAATTAAAGTATAAAATTTCTTTTATATTTTTTTTCTTTTATATTTTTTTAGAAATTAATTTATAAGATTATGTGAATTATTATACTAAATCTAACATATAAACTGATTAAACTTTTTATAAAATTATATTACTGACAATGAGACAAACGTCATCTTGCACACTCGCTTACTTCTCGCGTTTTCGTGGATGAAGGAATGCCACACAGGATTTTTGTTGTTTTGAGGTTTCATTATATTCGATTGCTGGTAATCATGTAGAAACTGTATTTTTGGGAAACGATAGAATAATGTTTAATAGTTATACAAATTGTGCCATTTAATGACAGAAAGCAAATTCATCATTGATTTAAAGAAACAATTGAAACAACGTATACGCTTTATTAATATAGGGCATACAATTATTTTAATTGTTTTGCAATAAATTTAGTTTAACAAATCATAAACATTTATTTTAATCGTAAGAGCTTAGAGTAGTTGTATTTGATCCATAAATTTTATATACAATTTATAATTCAATTTCTTTCGATAACATATAAGTTTTGTGATTACGTTATAACAAATGTCAACGTCCATTCCACGTCTACAGCACCAGTTCTCGTCCGATCACTGAAGTTAAGTTGCGTTGGGCACGGTTAGTACTTGGATGGGTGACCGCTTGGGAACACCGTGTGATGTTGGCACATTTTTTTAAATATTTTTTTTAATACATTTAGCATAATTTATTAATTTTATTTTTTATATGTAACAACAAAGGGATATAGTTTTCCGACATTTCGCACTGAATTTTATATATAATTGATAATTCCATTTCTTTTGATGATATATAAGTTTCGTGATTACGTTATAACAAATGTCAACGTCCATTCCACGTCTACAGCACCAGTTCTCGTCCGATCACTGAAGTTAAGCTGCGTTGGGCACGGTTAGTACTTGGATGGGTGACCGCTTGGGAACACCGTGTGATGTTGGCACATTTTTTTTAATTTTATTTTATACATTCAGCATAATTTTATATTTTATGTTTATATGTTTTTTAAATTTAAATTTTATATGTACAACAAAGACGTATAATTTTCCGACATTTCGCATTGTTTGTCCGGTGACAAATTATTCTTCGCTGCCATATATTCAGGTCGCACGGTAAGCAAGGGCAATTTATAGTGAGTCTTGATCAGCTGCAATAAAAATTAAATTATCGAAAATTGTGAGTGGATCTCCCTCTATTTTTAGTTTCGAAATGTTTATGATTCTGATATTTCTGATCTCCTTCTCTCACCAGACGCTCCTCCAAATTCCGCGGCTCGGCTTGCCCGCATTGCACGGCAACCGTTCTCCTCAGCCGGTCTAAAACTGCCTTATTTCGCAATTGCTGTCGCTCAAAGTTGGCGAGACCTTCGGTCGCGCACACCGCGTATCTTTGTCCGAGTTTAATGCTCGATCCCGGTACGAGACCTACGCAAGTGTGAGCCCGGTAATCGGTTGAATTTCAAGGAAAACTCATTCCGCGACGACGCGAATTCGCGATAAGTTTTTTAACGCGTATCGGAAGTTTGTACTGATAAGGAATACAAGGAACCGATAAGCACCCTCGTATCCTGGCAACATGGGGTGAACGAAAACGGGATCGGTCCTCTTACAGCGAGTATTGACCACATTTATATCGCTTCTCGACGGTCGCCATGCCTACCACGTACGGTGTTGGATCGGTAATGGATAAAAAGATTATTTTTTAGATACACGCACTGGTAAAATAAGTTGTAAGATATATATATTTTTAGAATATTTTTCAAAACTTCTTATATAAATTGTTTTTATCTTATTATTTTATCTTATCTTTAATTTATCGTCAAGTATATCGTCGCATATCGTTCACCTCGAAATCATCGGTTGCACGATTCGCCAGGACAAGCGTTTTCGCATGATTAATCGTAGGATCGAGCAGCAGTCTATGCGTGGTTTTTGCGTACGTTTCACCGCAATTGAATCGGTCCTGCGGACAATAGCCGGAATATCTGAAAGGAGTAGCCGGGCGATTTTCATGAAATTCGCGAAGTACTCTGTACATCCGTCCCACGCTCATAAAAATTATTGGATTATTAAGAAATAACTTATTAATTCATTCTAATATACAAAAGACAGGAGTGATTATTATCGGTTTGTAAGGGTTAATTTTCTACCCTGGAATAAAATGCGGGTCCGCTGTTGTTAAAAGTTCCATACCCGCAGTCATTCTGTGAAATTATAGTTTCTCAAGAAATCTGTATCGGAAAAGAAGCAAATTACAGCTTCCTATTTTATATTAAAGAAACATTTTTCTCACCTTAACCTGTTAATTTAAATGCACACCAAATTTAAATGCATACCAAACAATTGAAATTTCGGTATTACTTCACTCGTTACAAGCCTTTTTGCAGCGACTTTCGTTGAGCAAAGAATTTATGCGGGTTGAGAGATAATCGACCGGCAAAAAGGGGAGATAGGGATGACGAAGAGAGAGGAAAGAGAAAGAGAAAGAGAGAGTATTTGTGTGATAGAGTAGGGAGGACACGCGTTGCGTACTTAAACGGGGGAAGTGCGTGATTATAGTTTCGCTTTCCAGTTTTCACGGGACCACCGTGATGATAGGATGTTGCATTAAAAAGTGCCTCTTGCATAATTGAAATTTTAATTAGCATCCGAAATTCGTGTGATCAAAAAATATACAGACATGAAAAGTCAAGTTGTGAGAGAAAAATACTTGTTTACAATTAGATAGAAACACACGTGATTCATTCTTGGATGATAAGTGTCAGAAATGGAAGTGATTTGAGATACAAAAATAAAATAAAATAAAAAACTTATTCATCGACAAAACTGTCGAAAAAAATCGGTGATGTAATATGGAATAATTTCGTGAATATTTGTGGAGTGTTGTGATGCGATTACGTGTCTTTTTTATGTTCGAAACGGTGATGGAAACGAGAAGCTCGCTGATTACGTGATTAAACGGGTTAATAAATTATTTGGAAGGGGAGAGAGAGAAAGAGAGAAGTGAAGAACTATGTGGTTCCGTCCAGAGATGAGTTCCATCTTTTACGTCGAATCCGAGGCTATAAAAGTGGCCAAAGACGAGGTAAACGACTTGTTTATGCTTAAGCAGTTAATGACATTTTAATGAGACCGGCTGACCGATAGCAAGTAATCGTGTTCCTTGACATTAGTTACTGGTATAACGATACCAATATTTTGTCGAGGAAAGATAATAAGAAGGGAGATAGAAGCAGGTAGAAGAAAAAAAAATGAGCGGCACGGAGTACGATTTGCGGAAAAGTGGAAATTCCACCTACGTTTGACGTGCGAAAGCAACGATAATAATAACAGCGCGTAAAAGGAAAAGTGAAACTTATGGCGGTAACACTTGACGCTTGGCCACGTTTATGAGTTCTCCGGATATTTCGACAGTGCGACGAGAGAGTGGAAAAAGTCATGAAATTACCCGCATATTGCGATCATTTGATTCTATACCCTGTTCAATTTTCATTCTGTTTGTTTACGTAAATACATAATTGCTTGCGTAATGAAAGAATTAAATAACGTTCCGTGATTATCCTGCAATATTCATGATTCGGCTAATATTGTTTTTACGAGAAAATGTCGTCGCGAAATGAAATATTCGCCGGTACTGACTCAGTAAGCATTGATCGTGCCGTTCAGAGGGTGGGTCATGAGTGTCATGACCTGGCCAGGTGTATACCAGGTGCATATACGAAATGCAGTTGCACGCGCGCGCTCGTGTGCCTGATGAAGGGACAGTAATTTTCTCTGTTTTGCTTGGCGTTTGTTTCGCGTCCCCATAACCGGACGCGACGTTATCACGCATTACTCGTTGTCAACTCGCGACGTGGGTGGAGGACATGTAGCGACAGATATACACGATACAAACGTTATATTGGATGCATATTATAAACAGAGATTCAGTCATGACACGCGTTACTTCAAGTAAAAAGTCGAAATTTAATAATGTAGAAAATTTTATGTTTTCTATAAAATCAATAATATAAGTAATCAGAATTTATATTTTGTTTAATAAAGTAGAAAAATTTGAATTTTAATTGACTACCTGAACGCTCTCTCTTTGTCGCGCTACGAGAAACGTTCGACGTTGGCAATAAATTAGCAGTCGGATATCAATGCGCAGATCGTTGGTCTCAGTGAATCAGAAGGTTAATTCATTCATCCTTCACAGACTCTTAATTAGAGCTCGCCGCGAGTGAATCTATAAATATCATCACGATAGGGCTGAATATCTAACTTAACTCTCGAGTTTGTTTTGCAGACGCGTCGTTTTTTCATATTTGAACATTTAAATACATTCAGGCATTTCCAGAGAATTTTGAAAGACGAAACTTAAGGAATAGAAATTGGACTTATCTATTAAATTAGATTAACTTTCACATTTGGACCATCGTTTTATCAACAAAAAAAAACACGGAACGGAAACCACGAACGGAAGCGGCTATAACATGACACCGCAATGCGCACAGAAAGTTTGTCGACACGCGAGCGTTTCCCTGAATATATCAGTCAGTTTTCTCGGGATTTTATACAATAGATAAAACCATTTGGTACTCCGGACATGTGTTCCTCGAACAGAAAGAAAGGCATTAAATTTGCGCTACTACTTTTTGTATTCTCAATTTAATAACTTTCAACAAAGTAAGCATTGGAAAAACTCATCGTTAAATATTGTAAACTTGTTGCTGATAAAAATCCAGGATGCATTTCTGTGAAAATTAAGAACCTCTATGTTGTCTATATTTTTAATAATGATAAAAATATGATTTCTCGAGAGGTCGTGAAGGAAAATTGAAGAAGAAAATTTCTATAAAGATTCCTCACATGATATCCAGAGAGATTTCCACATGACGCAGCACACGGTGCATGGCACGCGCGTGAGGCACATATATGAGTCATTCGCGTTCTGTGTACTGCGCGTATCGTGAAAAGAAAAGAGAAGGGAGGAAAGAAACACGCGGCTCCCCTAATTTCATCACTTCAATTCCGTTCCTTGAATACCAATGGCTTTCAACTTGGTTGCGTCCGATTGCGATCCGAGTATCGGGCGCCTCGCTTTGGACATCTTTATAGAGTCGCGTTGCCGGTACAACGAACAATGAAGCGGCCGCGGATGTGATGCGAGTCACGCCGATCACGCGGATGCATCGAGCGCGTGCGTCCGAACAAAAGAGTACGCGAGACGCAGGTACAAGGCGCGATGTGCCACCGGAGGATGAAGAAACGACGACATTGTCGTCGTCGACGACGAAGAGCACGCGCGTGCATAATTCACACACGACAACGATCGTTCGCATAATTTACGGATTATCGTCAAGTCGACCCTTTCGTCTTTATAACGAACGACGAAGAAGCACAACGATATTTAGACTTTGATTTTGTATATTTAGTGAATTGGAACATTGATTTATCCGGTGATATAATCTGTCGACACAATAACGAGTAATTTAAGCAAGTAGTTGAAATAAAAGTAGTTTAAATAAAAGAATCAAAAGCAACGCTCAATGTAAAATGATAAAATAAATTACATAACTATACTTACGATAGATATATGAATAGATCCGCGTATATTTAATTTTATTTTATACATAGCGTAAGCTATATATGAAGGTGCTTTCTATCTGAACTTTTCGATCGGAAGTCACTTAAAGTCAATCTCTCTTTAGCGTAAAATTGAATTTTTATGAGATTTTTATTCGCGAGTTTTCAGTATTTTCATGTTAAACTGCCGGTAGGAAACTGCCGCGCGGAATAAAATAACGAGTGTCCCGCCGCCGGACGGAAATCAATCTGTTTCCAAGGTGGAATTCTTTCTGGCGACTTTCTCACACTCGCCGATTCCGACGTGACCGCATTCCGCCGGGAATCCGCCTATCGGACGCGGATACTTCGACATATCCGCTGAAACGCGAAAATGGTGAGAGATTTCGCGAGCGAAATGCAGCGAGATCGCGCGATCCGATTTTCTCAGGAAGGATCTCAAATTCCTTCGCGGGGAGTAACGCGCGCGTTACTTCTACGGGAAACAATGATGATTAAGGGTCGAGAGATTAGAGGAATTCACCGTCGGGATGCGGCTAACGGTTTACCGGAGGCCCTTGCACTCCTCCGCGGCTCGACACGTCGTAAGGAATGAGCGATATTAACGTTTATATATACATGCAGGACGCGGGCCGTTTTCCTCCTGCGCTGCGTCGTGACTCACGCGCGCGTCTGCTGATCTCCCCTGGCAGACTTTATGGTGTTGGAAGCACCGTAATCCATAAACCCGCGCCGGTGGAATCGGCGAACACGACGGTTCACGTGATCGTTAAAGCCGCGAAGAGGATCGGCAAGGCGCTGAAAACGGTCCGGTGCCTCGGGAACGCGGATGAAATATAGGCTTGAATTCTTTACCTTAGATCCTACTAAACTATGTAACAAAGTGTATATCCTCGAAGTCAACAAAGGAATAACAAGAGACGCGAAGAAGTTGAAGGCAGTAGTTTTAATTAATCTGAAATATCGTATTTCAAATAAATTTTCTTTTCTAGATTAGCTATCAAGCTTAACCGATATTAGAAATATTTAATGATAAAAACTATCATACTTAATTTTAAAGAAGAACATGCTGATTCCAAAGATCAATTAAATTGTAGATTCAAGAGTTTCAACATTAATACAGCTAAATATGGGCACATTTTTTCATTCTTTTTTTATACCGCTTATATCATTACTACCGAGAGAAACGGCGATTTCTTTAAAGATCTTCTTCAAAGGGGCTAGGAAAAAAATGCTGGATTAGGTTACCGAGCTGTCAAAGCAAGTCCAGAGACAAGAAAAGGTCAGATAGGGTTGCTCGGTAGAGAGGAAGAGAAAGGACACGAGGAAGAAGGGGGGCAAAGGCCGGAGGAGGGATATACTCGCGACAAGCCACCAGTTCAGTGCGGTTCTACTCTTCGTCAGGTGTGTCTCGCCGATCACCCTAGAGATCATAAATCTGTCGTGACAGAAGTACTCTCGGTGAAATCCTTTACGAACCTTTGCGGCTCGTGTTTGTCTCGTGTAACGAGTGATAAAAATCCTCGAATTCAATATTCGTAATAAACGGCTGTCGCGAGCCGGCGTTTTCTGCCGGGAATGTAATTGATAACGACACGTGACCATATAACAATCGTGATCGCATGATCGTGTCGACGATCCTCTCGAGCGTGACGGGTTTCCATCGGCGACATTCGCACGACGGACGGCATGTCGATCTGAAGGTGAGTGCCGACGTATCGAGGCCGAAGTATCTTCTCTCAATCCTCCTCGGCCACATGTCTCCCGCTCACCTAGACTTGAAAATGCTGCATCGAAAAAGAAAACTAATCGTGTTATAATCATAATCGATAATTGGGTCTGTTTAATATCTGCATGACCGCGCAAGAGCGAGTACGTATTAGTAAAGTAGGTGAGCTGTCCTGGAAATCAGTTGACGGATTTGGCACACGTGAAAAGGAGCAATTCAAGTCACATATAAAATTTCATTCGCCTGTCGTGTGACCACGAAATTTTGCAGTCATTACGATAAATTCGTCATTTAAAATTTTTGAAAGTGAAAAATTTAAAGTAAAAAATAAATAATAATTAAAAAATGATGAAAAATTATCAAAATAATTGTACAATAAAAATAATTATTTTTTTCGTTTCTATTAGATTTTAGCTTCTTCATTTATCGATGATATTATCTTTCCTCGGAAATTAATTATACATATTACTTCACTAATTAATTAATATAACGAAAATTTTTTCTGATAAAAAAGAACAAAGTTTTAATTTCTGCTCGAAGATTTTTAGTATTGAGGAAACGTTTTTTCTCATGGTAGAGTAAATCCCGCGTCGCAGGAGTGACTAATCTCGAAGTTCAAGTAGTCAGTAGTACTCGCGTTCGGAACCGGTCAACGACAGGTAGTCGAGACGTGCTCGAGACGCTTCTAAGAGCGGCTTATGCGAGATCTTTAATAACTCGTCGTTTTTTCTACTTATCGACCGATAAAGACGTGCCGAACGAATATATTAAATGGCTAATGATTAGTGGATAATGTTCAATCGATTAATTCCTCTCTGAGCGTCTCCGCTGAAATAGCCCGGATGCTTCACTTTTGTTTTAGTAGCATCATATAATTGCGCGGCCGTATAATTGCGCTCGTTTAGCGTTAATTCCGCTCATGATTAATTCCACTGGCGTAAGGAGCGGAGTCCTGTGTGTGCCGTAATTCGTGCGTCGCGCTTTTATTGCAACGAAAGCGAGCCGCGCGCGCCTCGCTCGCGAAATAATTGCGAGGGGAGTTTTCAGTCGCGTTATAGTCGCGTTATCTCTCCTTCGATGAGCACATAAACGCACGCGCGCCTCTATTATAATATTATATAAAAGCGCCTACGTTCCCCGAGATGTGCATAATTCCGTGCGCGAAGCGCCTTCTTGTCCCGTGTAGCGTGGCCCCAAGGGCGACCTTAACGTTTTAATTATAAAAATAGCCGGCGCGAAGAGCCGAGAGAGAGATGCCGACATAAAGGCGAACGTGAAATAAGAGCCGCGCGGCATTTAAAACCCACGGAAAATAACTGTCACGAGTCGGGAACCGCGCGCGCGCTCGCGATTCGAACGAGCAGGTAATAGCTGACATGTAACTAATGAAGCAACTTTAAGTCGATCGCGCGATTTCTTTTCTTCCTCTTGTCGCGCGTCTCGTTTCTAATTGATTCTCCGACATTTTTTCGCATTGTAATTGCGCGATTTGTTACGCAATCCCGTTATTTCGTCCCAGCATACACGATTCAGCTGCATGCCTAGTGTAGACATGTTCGAATCGATGAATCGAAACTACCGCTGATCACCGGCGACGATCGCTCGGCATCCGGCCAATTTGCTCGTCCAAGATACGCCACAGGCGGCCATTTACAAGGGTTACCGAGGGACTAATGTACATGTTGGTATAACGCGATATTTGTATTCGGGAAAAGGGAAGTGTTTGCAGAAGCAAGAACTCCGCTCCGGCATTCCTGGGTATCGATCATGTGACTTCTCTTCAGTAGGGAGGAAACGTGAAAAGTGAAAACACCGACGAGATACTATTGAAGATATCTTTAAGAGTGTGTCGTCGGTGTTTTTACTTTTCACGTTTTTGCCCTGGGGAAAAAGTTACGTGATCGATGCTCTGGAGATATCAGGACAAAAAAAGGGAAATTAAACTTAATTTATGACGCGTAAACAGAATCACTGTGTGAGTTAATTAGTGTAATGTTCTTCGTATAATAACGATACAATTTCGAAGTTCTCAAAGCTAAACTTTCAGCCCACGACTTCCAATTCTCCGTTCCCAATGGAAGTATTATACATCCCCGATTCACATAGGATGAATGAGCGTAGATCGATTCTCGTGTCGTCGACATTGCAATAAACAACGGAGTATAGACAGGCTCGTGGCCTGTAATCGTTAGTGTTACAGCCATTGTTATGCGACATGCGACGTAGAGCAGATGGGCGCGTTTTAGCCTCGTTGGGAACAATTAAAAGTGGCTCGAGACTTAATTGGCGCGGCTGCCAAAGGCGCGTCCGTTTAATCGACGTTTATTAAAGAAATAATAGTCGCGCGTGCGGCTCTTAACGAGCGAGCGTTTCATTCTCGTGGGAGACGTACCGTGAAAACGCACGCCGAAGACAATTCCCCAGGGGGGAGAATGGTATCCCGCTGTTGCAGCGCGCGCGATGTGAAAATGAGAAATGTACAAGCTTTTTCAGGACGCGTGAATTTGCGTGTAATCGCCACGAGTAAAGTTACAGGTATAACGACAGGCCGCTACGAAAACAAATGACACGAGAGCGCGTTCTAGGCGGAGGCCTCCCATTTGTAAGGAGTTCAGAGTGCAATAGTGAAATAAGTCCATTAGGTTCGCTTCGGATGCGGCGCGGCTTTCGTACATATCCGTATAAAGCGAAGCTTATAAATTACGGACTCTTGCCCGGTGGAATCTTTCGTTTATCGCATACGCTTTTCTCGAAGGCTAACGACCTCTCGCCTTTTTCTCTTCTTTCTTTATTTTTTTTGCACGTTCTCAGAGAGGGTTGACACAGACCTTTGTATATCCTTCCACGCCGGTAATCGCGGCGGTATCCCATAGTGAAGAATTCTTTTAAGTTCGAACCGTTTCGAACCAGGACGTCGTCGTTTCCGCCGTTCTTCGCGTTTTTCGAAAAATCCCACGATGCTTATCCCATGAGAAGCGCGTTAACGGGCCTTTACCGTTTCTTTACGGCTGCGCCGGGTTTTCGGTAATGAGGACATGTTATGCAAATCTCGACGAGATTATTGTAACTGTCGCGCAAACGGTACGCAAACACTACACCGCGCGTTTGTCCTTCACTCCCGGCTCGCGTTGCCCCGCAGAGAAAACGAGTTCTATCGCGCGCATTACGCCGCCTTATAATTCCTCCGTTAATTCGCCATTTCCTTTGTGGCTTGCGTTAGAATATACATTAAGACGCTCTACGCTACTTTATTATCCTACCCATTATATTTGTCCAACGAATATTCTCGTAAAATCAGAGCATATCTCTCTACTCTCCCTCTCTTTTTCTATTTATCTCTCTTTCTCGCGAAAATTTGCAACACCTATCGGGAGCGATAAAGAAGCAACTAAATTGGAAAGTCCTATCTTATCTCGAGATCAAGACCGACTCTAATCTTCATTCCCGGGGGTCCCCCCTTCCTCCCCGCCCTGACTTCTTCCCCGGATAATCCCCGAAGTATTTATAGTATTCCCGCGTTCATTTCACGGCTGGTTATTAACCGGATAAAATAGCCGGTACGATGGTACCGATTAACGAGTCACGTTTCCCCGTAGAACATGCCCCCATCTTCGGGAGAGAACTCCCGATAAATCAGGACCTCTCTGTGGTGCTCCGTACTGCGCGCGTTCTGCCGCGAGAATAACTTATCTCGCTCACAATGCCCTGCCCGCGTAATTCCTGAATATATCCCCTTCGGACGCGCAGCAACAAATTAAAGTTCCCCGACAGAAATACGCTGTCCTATGTTCCGATCGGTCGCAAATGACCCGCGATAAATCATTCGTTATTATCCTACGCGCTTTAAAGCAGCGCTATGCGCATTTAACGTGATAAAAAGAGGTAAAAATATAATTTTATAAATAAATTACATGAAAAATATATATATCTAAGGATTCGAAAATTATATATATTTTTTATTTATTATTTAGATTTGTTTGGATTTTAAAATATACAGAGAGATTGTCACGGGTTTTTCAAGCAATTTCTCGGCACGAGCGTGTTCATCGACGTTCAGTAAATCACATCATAAACCGTATTCCATACTCGATGCCAAAAATCTATGCGGACATCGCGATAGCGCGCATATTAATCAGTCACGATTCCCAATCCCCGCGCTTCGGCCGATGAGGCTCCTCCAATTTGCTCGGGATCGATAGATCGCTCCAATTCTCTTCTGTCAGACGCTGTACGGATTGCCTCGTAGATTAGTACCCGCCGTACAACGCAAGTATCTAGACAATATATCAAGGGTTCACCTCACCGAGTAGAGTCCTTCCAACGCGGCCGGTATCTTCCACTTTTTCCTTTTCTTCGCGCGAGAAGGTATTTCGCGGTTACGTTCGAAACATGCACTTCGTTTCTTATCTTTATGGTGCAACAGATACGTCCGTACCTGTTGCTAGGGGATAAGGTTGAGTTATTTCTAAAATAATTTAAAAAATTTTCGGAACATCTGCGATTACGCGGACGCAAAGATTGAGATCTTTATCTTTTAACAAATAGCCCGGAGAGAATGGTAATTAAGTGCAAATTCGCTTGCCATTATTCACAAATACCTTAGAAATCGTTTGCGGTTACGCAAAATTGGCTCAATTGGAAATTCAGATTATTCTCTTAATAAATCGAAAAGGAGTAGGGGGGGGGGAGGGAAACGAATTCCGGTCGGGATTCCACTTTCCGCGAGGGATATCTTTCGTATCTCTCCGTTTTGTTGCGCTATTGGGTAAGGAAGCGGGCATGAGCGCCTCGCGCTCATAAATAAGGCATAACCGCGCGCGACGCGAGTGCGAGAGCGCAGCGAACGTGGGCGAGGAGGACGCCTTTGTGCGCGCGACGTGCATATGCGCCCGTATATACATATATGCGCGATTTGTTGTTGCGAGAGGGTGGAAAAGCAAGCGAGGGAGCCGCGAGGAATTACCTATCCGGCGT